GTACAGAGAAGTCCCATATACGCTCACCCAGTTTCGCCCAGTGGTCCCAATGGTTAACATCTTATGTAACTACAGTACAATATAACAACACCAAGACATTGATTTTGGCACAATGTGTGTTCTATGTCATTTAATCCCATGTAAACATCACTAAGATTATGGTACAGAACTGTTCCATCACCACAAAGACCACCTCCTCACTATATCTTAATAGCTACACCCTTCTCCCCCTGCAACCTCCCCACTCCCTGCCATCCCTAACTCCTGGCAACCACGGGTCTGTTCTCCCATCTCTATAATTTTGTCACTGGGAGGACATTATATATATGGAGTCATGCAGCATGTGACCTTTTGAACTTGACTTTTTTCACTCAGTATATTTTTAGTAGCTGAGAAACAAATGTTCCTTAAGTTTCTCTTCTTTTTCAAAAATTTATTGCAAATAATCACATTCTACCTTCAAAAAAACTATGGAAATATTCAGACACACATGAAAATAGAATAGTATAGTGAGTACCCATATATGCATCACTCAGCTTCAATCAATATTTTGTCACCTTGTTTTTTCTATCAGTTTTCTGAGTATTTTCAAGCAAATCTCAGACATAATTTTACCCATAAATAATGCAGTATAGCGCTCTAGCAAATTAGGATTGTTTTAGCATCACAATAGCCTTGTTACATCTAAGAAAACTACCATTGATTCTGTATTATTATCTAATACCCAATTTGGTTATCTCAAGAATGACTTGGCCCAGGCCTATACTGTATTTGGTACCTAGGTCCCTCAAATCTTGTACAATCTCTCTGCTATGGACTGAATGTATCCCCCCAAAAGTCATATGTTGAAGGCCTCATCCCCAATGGGATGGTATTTGGAGGTGGGGACTTTGAGAGGTGATCAGGTTGAATTGAGGTCATAGGGTAGAGCCCCCATGATGGGATCAGTGCCCTTACAGTAGGAGGAAGAGACCACAATCCTCTCTCTTCAGCCATGTGAAGACACAGCAATTAGATGGCTGTTTGCAGGCCAAGAAGGGGTCCTCTCAGGAACCAAATCATGGTACCAGGTTGTGGGACTCCTCAGCGTCTAGGACTATGAAAAATAAATGTCTGTTGAAGCTACCCAGTGGATGGTATTTCGTTATAGCAGCCCAAGCAGACTAAGACACCCTCCTTTTTTTCATGTCATTTTTTTTTTTTTAAAGATTTTATTTATTTATTTGACAGAGAGAGATAGCGAGAGAGGGAACACAAGCAGGGGGAGTGGGAGAGCGAGAAGCAGGCTTCCTGCCGAGCAGGGAGCCCAATGTGGGACTCGATCCCAGGACCCTGGGATCATGACCTGAGCCGAAGGCAGACGCTTAACGACTGAGCCACCCAGGCGCCCTTCATGTCATTTTTTAAAAAAATTTTTAGAGGATTTTAGAGGAAGGGCAGAGGAAGAGAGAGAATCTTAAGCAGACTCCACACCCAACACAGAGCCCGATGCAGGGTTCGATCTCACAACCCTAAGATCATGACCTGAACTGAAATCAAGAGTCAGATGCTTAACCGAGTGAGCCACCCGTGCATCCTGATGTCATTTATTTGTAGAAAAATTAGGGTCTTCTTTTTCAGTAGGATTTCCAGCATTTTGGAACTGGCTGATTGCAAATTTCTGGTGTATTAATCTCTATAATGTATGTATGTGGATTTTGGAATGCAAAATTTTAAGTATATGCATAAGTAGTGAGACAAGATGATATGCCCCATCACACAGCTGCCACAGTTAAAACCCACAATCAAACTTTATCTCTGCCCCAGCACTTAGCCTCTGTTCTGGTTACTACTGCTGTATAACCACTTATCCCAAACTTTATTAGCTTAAAACAATGGTTTTATTTTCTCACAATTTGAAGGGTCAGGAATTCAGGACAGGTTTGACTAGGCAGCTATCACTTATGGTCCCAAGATGGCTACAGTTGAGTGTTGTCTGGAGCTGCAGTTCTCGGAAGGCTCCACTGGGCTGGACGTGCAAGATGGCCATTCACAGGGCTGGTCACTGCTGCTGCTGCTACATGGGGTCCTGTGGCTCAGCTGGGAAGACTCAAAAGCCAGGGGCTAGAATCACCTAAAGGTTTGTCCACTCACAAATCTGGCACTTGGGCTGCAAGGCACTTAGCAATCAGGACTGCTGACTTTAGTACCCCCACATGGCCTCCCCAAGTGGCTGAGCTTCTTGACAGCATGATGTGGCAGCTCTCGGTTCCAAGCACCAGCCTGGGTTCCCGTGAGCAAGGCAGGACTGCATCGCCGGTCATGGCCCAGCCTCAGAAACCATTTTCACCACATTCTACTGGTTACAAGAAAATGTCAAGCTTGCAGAGATTTGAGAGAGGATACAGACTCCCCCAGGTGGGAGGAGCATCAAGGTCACACGGTAAAATGAGAGGGAGAGGAGGAGTGGTGGCTGCCTTTGGAAAATATCCTCAGCCACACTATACTAGTTCACTTTGCAACAAATCTCAGATACCATCTCCATCAATCACATCGATTTATACTTCAGTATTTTGGGTGCAGCTCTAAGAGACAAGGACTTGTCTTCCAAGCTTTTTGAGGCACAATTCACACAAGATAAAATGCACAGTTCTTAACATGTTCAGCTGGATGAGTTTTCACAACTGTACGCACCTTTGTAATCACCCAAACAAGATGCAGAACTTTTATCACCTTACAGAGTCCTCCAGTCAGCTAGTTTCCCCCTCCCCGACCCCAGCAAGAGCTTTCTGATTTCCGTTCCACAGCAGTAATACCTACTTTTATTAATTATGTAATGCACAGAAGTTTTGACTCATCAGGACTCTGCATTCCTCTAAGGCTTCTATGGTACTAGGTTATTTGAAGGAAACTCTGACTTCCAAAAATCCTACCTTTTCCAAACCTAATAGGGAAAAGTTTCAGCTTTAAAACACAAATGTAGGAGAGGATGCTCTTGCCCTAGTTTAGATGTTCTACCTGGCAGACCATGTGTCTGTCTTCACTTCTGATTGTTGGATTGTGCTCTCTGCAAGGCCACCAAGACCAGCGACTCGCCTTATTCAATGGTCTTTTCTGGGTTTACTCAATCTTTTTGCAACATACGACACTGTCGACTATTTTACCTTCTTTCTTTGAGAGTTTTTTTTATTATCTTCTTTCTTTTTTAACAGCTTTGTTGCATTCTAATTTACGTACTACCTGTTTAAAGCATACCATTCAATGATTTTTAGGAAACTTTCAGAGTTGGACACCCATCGATCCAGTTTTAAGAACACTTCCATCACCTTCAGAAGACTTCTTCTGCCCATTTGTGGCTAATCTCTGTTCCCACCCTTAGTCCAAGCTTCCCTTTATATAAATTTGCCTTTTCTGGACATCTCATATAAATGGAACAATAATATATGTGGTCTTTACATCTGGCTCCTTTCGGGGAGTATCAGGATTTGGGAACTCCTTCATGGTACAGCATGTGGGCAGTAGCTTGCTCTGTGTTATTGCTGAGATGTTTTCTTATATGGAGAAACCACACTCTTCACCGTCTTTCTGGAAAGTCCATCCTCATTCTTGCTCTCTGACCTTTCCCCTCTATGTCCAACTTCTCTCTACTCTTTGAAATGAGAGTGTGACAGACACTGTTGGTGCCTCTCCAGCAGGCACCCCCCCTCCCCGCCCACACCTGCCCTTGCTGATAGAGGTCCAGCCCCAGAATTTTCACATTTGAGCCCATCCTAGCAATGTTGGGCAAGTGAGGTCCAGCAGGGGAAGGGACAGGACAGCAGTCCCGTATGCATGTGACACCTAGAGCCATCCAGCTGTCTGGGGACCGTGGATACTGAGGGTGGCAAAGTGTAGACCCAAAGTCCTTGATGTCACTGCATGCTGCTGAGCAAGCCACCCTGAGTGCCCTCCTCTGACCCTTTATTTGGGGGACATTGAAGCGCTCAGCAGTAAAGCCGTATCTTGTTGGCTGTTGTGTGGCTTGCAGCCAGAAGGCTCCTGACGGACTGGTAGCATTCTCCAAACCTCCTCCCCAGGACTCTGGCCCTTCCTGCAGTCTTCCACTCTTAGGCAAGGATGTGTACATCAGGATCTGAAGTCCAGGCCTTGCTCCCAAGCCCAACACCCTCATTTCAAACAGCTTCCCGCCCTTGATGACCTCACAGGTGCCTCAATCTGAGCCTGCGCCCAGCTCCTGTCTCCCTGCCAGGCCAGCATTCCTCCTGACATCGGCTGATCCACTGACCATCCATTCTCATGGTCAGTGAAACTCATGGCCCTGGACCTCCCACATCTCATCCAACAGCAGGTTCTGCTGGTTCTACATCCTGGACCCTTTTGGAATTCCTACTGCCCGTGCTTCATTAGCTCCTACTCAGTTGCAGCCTTGGGCCTAGGACAGGTCCCCTCACTGCCCCCAACAGCCTCTATTCTAAAGAAACAGTTTTCCAAGGCACAAACCCCATCACACCTCCCTTGTTTTAACTATTTTAACAGTTCCATTTCCACAATGCACATGACAAAACAGATGAAAGGCTTCCTATTCCGCAGCTTCTGTGGCCTCATCCCCCCCTCCCCCCGCCCCCACCTACATGCAAAGGTCTAGTCACCCTGGGCTGTAAACAAAGTGAATAAATTTGCCAAACTGTTCAACCCCTTTGTCCCACCAACATTCCAGTTCCTTTGATCCCCGTGCCCAGGCAGGGGCTCCCACATCCCTTCTTACACGACTGTACTCCAGACTGAAGTAGCCTTCCACGGTGCTGTTCCGGTCTGCGGAACGTTGAAGGATTGGCGAGTGCGCTGTGTACACCGCGCAGCCCCTCGACTATCCGCTGGGCGCCTATCATATTTTGTGATACATTTTCCACCTACAATCCTGGATGTTTACCTCCTAGATAAAGATCCTAGAGCCCCTGCCATTAGTATCCCACCCCCAAACTCCTGCCCTCGGGTTCCATCCGGTCCTGGGCATGTCCTACCTTCGACTTCAGATGAAGAAGGCCACTGTGGCTTGGCTGCCCCTTTCTTCCCTTGGCAGCTCTCTGCAGCCTTGGTGTCTGGAGGCCTCTCGGTCTCTTGAGAACGCCTGTCCATCGACCTTTCCTTAGTCTTTGCAGTGGAAGAGCCGCGCCCCTTCTTTTTCTCCTCACCTGAAATCCATGGACAGTGAATTAGTCTTGTTATTTTCTTGAAGCTAGAGCCATGGGTCCCCACCCTCCAGTTGCCAGCTTTGGTCCAGAGTGTCACTTCCATTTCTCTGAACATGCGTGAAAAGACCCTCGAGGCACGGTCATCAGGGAGGACTCCGGCGCAGCGCGGACGAGCAGGCGCGGGCGGGGCGCCGAGCACCCCCGCAACCCCGCGCGAACCGCGGGCACACGGCCGAGGAGACGGCGGGCCGGCGCTCCTTTACCTTTCCTAGATTTGTGTTTGCTGTTGGAAAGTCCCATAGGCGAACGCACCGCCCCCGCCGCCGCAGCCCGGCCCTCGGCACCTCCGCGGGCGCACAGCCCGAGGGACTCACAGAGGGTCCCGTGGCCGAGCGGCGCGGGTCGCCACGGCAACGCCCCGCCCACGCGACTAGCGCCGTGCTCTCGCGAGAGCTGCCGCTCGCCGGAACTGGGAGGTGACCCCGGAAGTTCCCGCGCGGCGGAGCTGGAAGGGGCGATCGACTCGGCCGCGGAATCCCGTGCGTCCGTTCCTGCGAGCGCTGCCGCTGCCGGACCGGCCATGGACGGTAAGAGACCCCGCCCTCCGGGGCAGGGCGGGACCCGCGGGCTCGATCCGGGACCCCGGACCCCGATCCTTATCCTCGATACCGGACCCTCACCCCCTTCACCAGACTCAGCGTCCAGCCCCCACACCCCCAGTTCCTGTACCGGCGAGGGACATCGACCTTTGGGGCCCTGGGAGGTCAGGTCAGAGGGCACCGGAAAAGGAGACAGTTGCACCCCTGTCCCCAGAACACCGCTCAGAAGGAAGAGCTCGGGCGAGAAGTACTTGCTACGTGCCCGGCACGGTTGTGCGTGTGGGGTAGGAACTTGATGCCCCCTTCTGCGGATGGGGAAGCCGAGCTAGAGCTTGAGCCCCCTGGCCTCGGCCTCCACTGCCTGCGGCACCCACTCTGCCCCGCTCCGCGCCCAGGGACACCAAGGAACAGGAAGGATGGGTGATAAAGTGAGGTGCCTGCGTTTGCTGGAGTGTGTAAGGGCTGGTGTGGTCGAGAGGTTTGGAAAACCACTTTGTGAAATGTGAGGAGCTGGACAACAGCGTCATCATCACGAAGGAAGCTCTGCACCAGCTACCTCGGAAGATGAACAGCACCACACCCCCCCACCACAAATGTTGGGTTTTACTCCGCAGTTTGGTGATTTTCTTTGGGCCGTTATCACTTTTTTCCAGGGTTAGGTTTTGCCCTAACAGCTCTTTGCTCTTGAGAGTCTTTCCTGCTGCTCAGTTAGAGATGAGAAAGCCGAGGCAGGGAGAGACGGTGATTTAAGTCACACCGTAAGCTGGAGAGTTGGAGAGCTGGCCACACCGCGCCTTGTTTTGCCTGCGGGAGGCACTCTGCCTGTCCGCTGTGTCCAGTCAGCTCCGATTTACAGATTCCACAGCCGGCTTTGGCCTTGACAGGGCTCGCACAGGGCGTGCCTGAAACCCCAAGGCTCTCAGCCGCGGGGTCTTGATTTGCATTTGTGAACGCACCCTCATCCTGGTTACAGATTTCAGTTTCTTAATTCTGGGCTAGGGTGGTAAACCCTTCCAGACATCATTCTGCACGTTTAAAAATGGAATAAATTGAGATAGTTTAAATGTGAATCTGGATCTACCTGGCTCTTGAGTTTTGGTGAGTGAGTAGCAAGTGTGGCTATCCGGAGAGTTAGCTCTTAATCCTCTCAAGTCTCTTCGGTTCCTCCATGTGGACAGGTAGGCACTTGAGCCCGATTTGATGGCTCAGACTTGCCAGATGCCATGGAGGGTGGTCTCTGTGGGTCAGGTCTTTGATAGCACAGGAGTCCTCATATTGCTACTTTTATCCAGTTACTTTTGGGGATAAAGAGTATCTGAAATACAGATTGTCCAGTGCTGAGCTTTATTAAATTGGGAAAGAATCCCAAGGGCCTTTGTAAAGTTGCTGTAAGTACAAACCACCACTCGGGGCTTCACTGTGGGCCACGTGCTGCATCCATGATCTGTTTTGTCTGCACACTAATCCTTGAGGTCAGCTGGTACCACCCTGGTACCACCTGTAAGGAATCAGAGGTTCTGGAGCCTCCAAATTTGCCCTCTGACTGATGAGGGAGCAGAACTGGTGCACGAGTCCATCTTCTGCCTCCAGTGTGTGGTGGGCCTCCCTGAAGGCCCCATCCATGCCTGCATCCTGTTCCAACTCTCTGTGTCGAGGAGGGTCTTAGTGGCCCCATCTGCTTGTTAGAAGTGCCGCTTGTCACAGTTGAAATCCTCAAACCATCTCCTTTCTTTGCAGATACCCTGTTCCAGTTGAAGGTATATACTGAAGGACCTTTCACTCCAACCCTGTCTTGGTGATTAGCAAATGAGGACAAATGGTGTCAGTCACACTCGGAAGGACGGATTACCAATTGCGTGATTTCTGCGCAATGCTCTTTCGGACTGATGACAAAGGGGAGGTTATTGAGTTGGCTTGATGGCATATTAATCCTTTCCTTGTCTTGGGCTGAGCAGAAGCAGATCACATGGGCTTGTCCATGAGGGAGTGAGCCTGCTATCTTCAAGAAACACAGCTTGGGTATTAGGTGCATCCCTTGATGTTCCACTAGGCATTTAAAACTGGTTTCAAATTCTTTAAAATCATGTTGAAGGAGAGTGTTCTGAGCAGCGTAGCATGCCTCTTATAATTAATCCAGGGCAAGCTTCTGCTGCATTTCCCTTAAATGCCTCCATAGTTAACCAGCCATGGTTAGTTCTGAAAGACTGGGTGGGAGTGATGTGCCCAAGCTGCTGACTGTAGTTCATCACACTGGCTTTGCAATGGAGAGGAAGGGCAGGGAATACCAGGAGGCCCCAGGCACTTTGTTCAGCAAGCTTCCACCTTGTGGAAGGTGCTCAGGGCCAGATTCCTGGGTTAGGAAAATCTGGATTTTTTCCCTGAAGGAACGTAGGAGGGGGTGCCTGGGAGGCTTAGTCGATTAAGCACCTGCTTTCGGCTCAGGTCACGGTCCCAGGGTCCTGGGATCGAGCCCCGCATCGGGCTCCCTGCTCAGAGGGGAGTCTCCTTCTCCCTCTGCCCTTCACATCCTTCGTGCTCTCTCTCTGACAAATATATTAAAAAAAAAAAAAAAAAAGAATGTAGGAGTGTGAGGTAGGCTGACAAGAAACCCTTTCTATGTGACAGAAAGTCCCAAGTTGGGGGGGCGCTGAGGGGCAGGGTGGGGGAGTCCCAGTCAGGAGGGTGTTTCAGGCTGAGGGAACACCGGAACACCACCAGCCAGGAAGCTATATGGGCCTCTGGAAGGTCACTCTTTCACTTGGGTTATCTGAGCATTCTCCCCTGCTGGCTTCCTGGTTAAATGAGGCCTTTTTGGGGGAGCTGTGGGGACCACTCCGACAAGGCCTGGGAGCATGCACTGCCCAGCAGCCCCTCACAAACACAATGTTCTGTGAAGAGAACACTTTGAGGTGTATGTTCATCAGGAATTCTGTATTACCACTTGGGGTCGCCTGAAACAGATTCTGTCGAGTTTTTCCCGAAAGTTGAAAATCCGTAAGTAGGGGTGGCTCAGTCTTGGTTTTGGCTCAGGTCATGAACTCAGGGTCCTGAGTTCGAGCCCCATGTTGTGCTCTGCGCTTAGCGGGGAGTCTGCTTGAGATTCTCTCTGCCCCTCCCCCTTGCGCCTCTGCACTCTCTCTCTCATGAATAAATAGATCTTTAAAAAAAGGAAAGAAAGAAAATCCGTAAGTAGTAATGATTGTGTGAGTAGGCTTTTTTTTTTTTTTAAAGATCTTACTCACTTGAGAGACAGCTCATGAGCCAGGGGGTGGGGGGAGGGGCAGAGGGAGAAGCAGGCTCCCCACTGAGCAGGGAGCCTGATGTGGGGCTCGATCCCAGGACCCTGAGATCAGGACCTGGGCCAAAGGCAGATGCTTCACCGACTGAGCTGCCCGGGAGCTCCTGTGTGAGTTGGCTTTTTAACTTTCCACTCTGGGGGAGGGTTTGGGTTAGGCATTCTGGGTTAGGACATTTTAGGAAACCTGCACAGCCCTCCCTGTCCCCTGAGCCTCAGAGACCCAGGGAGCTCCCTCCATGCAGCCCCGGGCCATGAGGACACTGGCAGGCTGGGCACCTTCTCTGTGCGGTCGGGGCAGGGGGTACTGAGGAGGGTGGGGAGGTACCAAAGGACAGGCTGTGTGTGTCTGACCTGAGTGTCCCGATTCTGCTCAGTTCACGGCAAAGCAGCTGGAGAAGCTGGCCAAGAAGGCAGAGAAGGACTCCAAGGCGGAGCAGGCCAAAGTGAAGAAGGTGAGGCTGCAGCATGCCCGGGCCGCGTCCCTTGCTTCTGGGGCTTCTGTTGCATTGTTCTGGTGTCTTCTTTTTGTGTGAGGGGCGCCCCACGACTCTGGCCCTGGGTGTTCTCTCAGGAGCCTGCTCAGGGCCTGCAGTGGCCCCCCCTGCCTCCCTGCCCACTAAGGGGCGTCCAGAGCAAAAGAACTGTGTGTTGCCTTCACTTTTTTCATGGAACGTCCATGCCTTTTGTTCACTTCCAAAGTTCTGAACGCGCATTTTTCACAAAGTGTGTGGGATGTGGGCTTCCAGCCGTCCCTGCCGCAGCCCCGTCCCTTCCTGCCCTCTTCCTTGCAAAGCACGTGCCTCAGGCTTCAGAACTGGGGCAGAGGGGAGGTGGGGGGAGGCAGGCTCTGGCTGCTCTCAGTGGGGACTTCCAGACAGCTGTTGCTTGGGTGGGCTGGCTCCTGGGGGTGTTAGAATTTGGTGACCCCCCTCACCCAAACTGGCACTCCCAGGGCAGAAGGGAAACTGGAGGACTGACCCCAGTCAGCTCCTTCATCTTCCTCCATGGTCCTGCTTGCTTTGGCGTCGGCATTTGCCTCGGTGGTTTTTGTGAGCTCCTGTGGTGCAGGCGGCTGAAGAGACCGAAGAGGGTGCGCGGCCGCAGGGGACGGGCCGGCAGGTGGGAGAGGCGGCTGTGTCCCTGGGACCAGGTCTCCTGTGTATCCCCCAGCGCGGGCTGGTCTGGGACCCTGCCTGGACACCCTAGGTCCTGAACAGGCCAGGGGCCTGGCATTTCTGCATTTTCATGAAGCTCACAGGCCAAAGGGGCTGCCCCGTGCTAGCAGATCTCGGCCTAGGACAAGCCAGGACCAGGCTGTTCGTAGAACAGCCACGTTCTCCCAGCTCGTGCTTCCCCGGAATTTCAGGCCCTTCAGCAGAAGAACGTGGAGTGTGCGCGTGTGTACGCCGAGAATGCCATCCGCAAGAAGAATGAAGGTGTGAACTGGCTCCGCATGGCATCCCGCGTGGACGCAGTGGCCTCCAAGGTGCAGACGGCCGTGACCATGAAGGGGGTGAGTGCTCGTGCCGAGTCATACGCCACGTGGGCCAGCTTCGGCCGGCAGAGTCGAGGAGCCGTGCCGGACCCCGTTGGTGGTGTAGTGGGGATTCCCTCCACACCATAGGGGCAGCACCAAAGGACTAGACAAGGTGTCCTCAGGTTTTTCTTAAGGGGCCATGGCTTGGGTCTCGTGTCTGTAGTTTAGTTGACAGCATTTCCTGGAGACCTGCCAGCAAAGAGCCCTGCAGTCCCGAGGGGTCCAGCCGGTCCTGAACATGGCTTGGCTTGGCCAGGGCTGGAGTCTTGTTGGCCCTGGGGGCCTGTGCGCCTGAGGAGAGTGCCGAGGGCCCGTCTCCCGTGGGTGACGTCTCCTTGCTTCAGTTCTGTTGCCTCCTCACTTTGTCCTGTGCCAGGTGACCAAGAACATGGCGCAGGTGACCAAAGCCCTGGACAGGGCGCTGAGCACCATGGACTTGCAGAAGGTCTCTGCGGTGATGGACAGGTTTGAGCAGCAGGTGCAGAACCTGGATGTGCACACATCGGTATGTCGCCTGTGGTCTTGGTGTGCAGGGGGTGGGTCCGGGGGGTGGCTTGTGTGGCTGGCCTCCCTCTGGGGGGGCCACCTCCGGAGCACCTGACTCTTGCGGGGTCTGGACCAGCACATGGAGGTCTGGCAGATAAGAGGGAGGCCCGAGGCTAGGGTGTGAGCGCCTCTTCCAGAGCAGTGGCCAGCTCAGCACCCAGGGGACTGAGAGTGCTGGAGAAAGTGCCTTGCGGCGGGGAGGTCTGGTGCGGGTCGAGGGAGTGAGCAGGAAGCATGGTTGAGAAGGTGGCCAGAAACGGGGCCGCAGTGGAGGTCCCAGGGCCTGCACCCACCTGCCCAGAACATGACCCCCAGGTAATGGAGGACTCCATGAGCTCGGCCACCACGCTGACCACGCCGCAGGAGCAGGTGGACAGCCTCATTGTGCAGATCGCTGAGGAGAATGGCCTGGAGGTCTTGGACCAGCTCAGCCAGCTGCCCGAGGGTGCCTCTGCCGTGGGCGAGAGCTCCGTGCGCAGCCAGGAGGACCAGCTGTCTCGGAGGTGGGCTCAGTGCCCCCATGTTGGGCTGGTGACCGCATGTTCTGACGGCCGGTTGGGGGGGAAGGAGGCGCATTGGAAGGGAAGGGAAGAAGGGAACACCGAGGCCTTGGGAGGAGAGCTCGTTCGGCCGGGCTTTGGTGCTGTTCCTCCCGAGGAGGCCCCCACCCGAGGCCCAGCCCAGGTTCCGTCTGGCTGCCTCTCTCCCCTGCCCTTGCTCGATGTCCGTGTTGGGTGTCAGCCGCGTGCTCACACACTTGTACACAGTTCGCTTTAGGAAGTCACATAACGATACTTGACAGCACATGGCTGGTCCCCAAGCTTTTCCTGTGCTATCCCAGGACAGCCTTGCAAAGCTGAGCTTGAGAGGAGAGGGCCGTGGCCCAATAGAGGGCCCTTGGCCCCCAGGGTTGGCATCTCATATTGAGCACACCACAGGTCAGAGGCACCTCTGCCCCCCGCCCTCCCTCACAGGAGCTGTGTTGTTGATTTGCAGGTTGGCCGCCTTGAGAAACTAGCCGAGCCTTCCTGTAGGGCACTGCTTCCCTGGCCTTGACGTGCAGGAAGGGCCAGGGAGGAGGGCTCCATCTCTCTCCCCATGCCTCTTGCCTTTCTGCACACCCTGCAGCGTGGCCCTTCCCTCCAGGCCTGGGAATTGTCCCTCTTATCGTAGACGGTGGCTCTGTGTCTTGGTGGGTGAGTTTGCACAACTTTCTGACTTCTGTGGGTTATTTCTGTGACTCTGGGCTGACCAGCTCGGGGTTCTGCAGGCCCCCCCCGCCCCCCCACCCTCTGAGACATTGACGGGGACTGACCAGTGGACGCCATGGGGGCCATGGGGGCCTTCAGACTCCGTGTAACGGCAGATGTGCTCCTGGTGGTCAGCCAGTGGGCGTCAGGGCTTCTTCCTGCTGCCAGGCCCCTGGAGGCCAGCTGGCTGAGCCCCACCTGGGATCCCTGGCGTCAGGCACCGTGCTCCATATCCAGGCACGCCCACCCAGGGGCCCCCCATCCTCATTCCACTGTTGCCTCTGGAGGGCCTGGGGCCCTGAGGGGTGTGCTGTGTGTCCTGTAGGAACTCAGGTCTGCACTGTGGTCCCTCCCAGTGAGGAGCAGGCAGTCCACACTCCGGCTTGGGGTGCTGCGTCTGCGTTGTTCTCTTCTGTGCTGTAAATAATGGGTGCCTCCCCCTCACCCCCCGACTGGTCTCTCCTCCTGTCTGTGGGCTCACACCGTCCGACCTGGGAGCTTGCGCGCTCCAAGAGGGGCCCCCGGTGGGGCCAGCGTCAGGGAGAAGCCGTGGCAGCCGCGGCCGGGCGGCTAGCAGCAGCTCCTCCTGATGAGTTCCTGGGACACGCAGCAGTTTCCACGTTTTTCATTTCCTGAGGTTTACTTTGTTTTCTTGAAGCTTCCAGGGTTTTTTGGGTTTTTTTTGCCAAAATAGAAGGAGCAGACAGCAGATGGGGAGCATTTGGGTCCAAGCCCCGTTCTTGGTGTGAGCTGGTGAGAACTTCGTGGTTGGTACTGAGCGGGGCCCGGCTCCGTGCACGGCTGACCACCCGACCAGCTCTTCCCAGAGGCTCCCGCTGCCCACGCTGTCCTCATACCAGTGGCTCTTGGAAAGAAATGTTGGAGATCTTTACCGTGACTTGCTACGTGTGATTCTTCTGGACTTGCTTGTCCCTGGGTATTCTGTGTGGTCAGTTGGGTTGGAGCAACCTGGATGCCTGAGACTGGTGTGAGAATCCAGAGGGCGGGTCAGCGTGCTGTCTGGCTTTTCTTCCACACTGCCGGCCTCGCCTTACTCCCTGGCTGTGGTCTCTCAGGATGCCCACGTGCTGGGGGTTCAGAGCAGATCCTGACTGTCTTGGTGCCCGGTGGGTGCAGAGCTCCCCAGCTGTGGCTCATCATAGAGCAGTGGGCATGTTTGCCCATTTTCCTAAAGTGCTGTTGTGAGTAAACACATTGATCCCTGAGAACTTTTTCCGGCTTTGCTTTAGTGGCTTTGGGTAGGGTGGGGAGCCATAGGGGGGCCCTTGATAGGGCTCTCCAGCCCCCATGCAGGAGGCTGAGGAGGGTACCTGGAGGAGGGCAGGTGGGGTGGGTGGGGTGAGGTATGCATGTCCTCAGGCCCCCACCCCTTACAGGTGGAGTTAGAGTCTGAAGTATTAAATTTTCTTTTTAAGTTTTTACCTGGAATTAACTTTAAAGGTACATAAAAGTTGTAATTTGCGCTGTTTCTGTATACTTCTGTATACCAGCGCCCCCCACGTGCACTTTCTAGTTGACCGCATGTAACTGGCTGAATCACCTTGTGATCCTCCATTCTTCCAACCTGGGACAGTCCCATTTGTCTTTGTGACCTAGATGGTCGGTGTTCTGTTTTTTTAAGAGGTAGAGTGATCGCAGGAGAGCGAGGGTGGGGGTTGGGCAGGAGAGGAAGACTGAGAATCCCAATCAGGCTCCACATCCAGCACAGAGCCCAACATGGGGCTCGATCTCACGACCTTGAGATCACGTCCTGAGCTGAAAACAAGAATCGGAGCACTTCACCTGCTGAGCCCCTGAGGCGCCCCGACCTGGATGGCCTGGACATGCCGGCCAGTAATTTGGCAAACTGCCTTTCCACTCGGGCTGATGGGACATTTTCCCACGATGACGTTGACATCACAGAAGTGGTACTGTGTCCTCGGTGCTCCACACCAGGTGCACCGTGTTGCTGTCTTTTCACCTGGGACACGTGGTGTGGGCCACGCGTCTCCCCCATGATGTTTTATGTTCCCCTCTGTTGAGTATCTTGTGGGGAGAAATTTTAAGACTGCCAGCATCATCTGCAAACATTGTCCTACTTTGCCCCTGATACTCGTGTCCCTTGATGATTTTTCCTGGTAACAATATTCGCAGTGATTTCCTATTTGCAGTTCTGTTTTAAGGAAGAGTTTCTTCTCTCTGTTTACTTATTCCATTATTTATATCCATGTGGACCTATGGGTGTTTTCTTCCCTGTGCACCAGAAACCATGTGTGGACGCCCCTCTGGATACCAGAAACCACAAGTTTGCTCTAATCAGGCTCAATCTGGCCATCCCCCCCTCATTTGTAACTTACTTGACAGTGGAAATCTGACTCTCATGTACTCCTGTCTTTGCTCATCTGTCAACACAAAGCACTGAGAACTGTTCACCGCCCCTCTGTGGGACAGTCGTTACTCAGCAGAGGACAGCGTGCACAGTCCTTCCCCCGTCCTCCCGGCGCTTCTCCAGAGTGCCCCTGCTCTGCTCATGCACACCAGTTCCCGCGTCCTTGCGCTCATCTCCTGGTACTCCACTGTGGGGGGCCCCATCCGAATCGAATCATGCGCCTGCCGGTTGGCTGGGAACAGCCCCCACCTCCCAGGGCCCTCACACCCACGCACATCCGCGTGTGAACAGGCTCCTTGGGGCTGCTTGTGCACCCCGTGTGGGCCTTACTAGGGGAGACGTGGCCCCTGGAGGAATCCCCCCGCAGCCTAAGGAGGGGGTTCCTGCAGGCTCTGTGTCCTGATTACCCATCCCCCCACCCAGCGTGTCCTTCACTCCTCGGAAAGGTCTCTTGAGGTTGGAACAAGGTTGAGCGGAAGTGGAAATGAACTAGCAGGACAAATTGAGGTTGGACAGCAGAGATCTCCCCGGGACCAGATAGGTTTTTGGGTGGCACCTGCAGCTGCGGCCTCTCTCTTGATTACAGTTAGTTCGGTAGCAAACGTTGGCGTGCTACCTCCGCAGCCCAGCAGAGGGACCCTTCGCACTGTCTCCGCCAGGCGGGGGCGGGGGGGGGCTTTGGGTGGCCAACTCAGGACAGAAACCCTTTAAAGTTAAATCAATCCTAAGTGATCCACAAATCCCCACCAGTGTCCCTTCTGGTCAGGGCAGATCTGCCTGGGAATGAGAAGCAGGGACCCTCACAGGGGCGGGGGAGAGCCAGGCAGGCACAGGTGGGCGCCCCAGTTTCTGGTAGGTGCTGCACGGGGCTGTCCACTTATTTGTGGGCATCTTAGGGCCCAGGGCGCCTGGGCAGGGGAACTCCTCCCTCAGTGTTAAAGCCTGTACCTGCCCAGATGGGGCATTCTTAGAGGCTCTGGCCTAGAATGGGGGCAGCAGGGCCAAGGGGCACAGTGTGGGCACGTGTGTGCGTGAGGATGGGGCACACGTGTGCATGGGGGTGCACATGCGTGAGGGTGGGGGCGCACATGTGTGCATCATGGTGTGGGGTGTATGTGTGTGTGTGTGTGTGCGTGCATGTGCAGGCGTGTGCCTTTGTGCAGGTGTCTGTGTGTGTACATAGGGAGGGTAACTGGAGCCTAGGCTATATATAAAGACTTAAGCAGTGCCCATGCAACGTTCTTTTTAGACCCTGAGCCCTTTATGACCCCACTCTCCCAGGACCCAGGTAGTGCTATGTCTGGAGGTCCAGCCTGGGACCATTTTCACAGAATTTGCCCTTGGATGCTCAGGAGCCCCCCTCCAGGGCTGGGGTGCTGAACACACCCTCATGACTCAGAAGGGTTGTTGCCTTTATTGACGGTCCACTGTGTGTCTGTGTCTGGCACTGCCCACAGCTTACTGCCCTCAAGTGAGCCCAGGTACCTGGTCAGGAGAGGCCAGGCCTTGTGCGTGGGGAGCAGCATCCTGGAATCTCCCTGCTCTGGTGGCCACAGTCTCCCCAGAGCTGTAGGGACCCAGGAGGTCCAGATCCCAGGGCATCAAAGAAGACTCAGGCCGAGGAGGATGGTGGTAAGGGAGGCCAGCAGGGCCCCTGGCTGGTGGTGGAAGCTGGGGGCCTCTGAGTAGCCATACTTGGTCCTGCAGGAATGCTCCAGCTTGTCCAGTGGGATGGGCTCCTCCTCAGGAGTTTGCGTGTGATCGCTCACCTGGGGACAGACACGGGTTGGGCTGCCTGCCTGCCAGCCGGCTGACAACACTGAAAGAAAACAACAGCCCCCCCCTCACCTGTTCCACTGCCTTGAAGACCCTGAGCAGGTTGTGGGCCAGGGCGCCCCTGACCTCCGCCTCTGTCCACTGCCTTCTGAGCAGCTCGGCCACCAGGTCTGGGTACTTGGACACGTCCTCAAGCCCCGAGGGGACCCTGAGGTGAAGGCAGAGAGAACCAGGCTATGCATTCCAGGGCTCAGGGCTCAGGGCTCAGGGGCCCGTCCACCTCCCCACACGCCACGGAGTTGCCCACGCCCCCATCCCAAGGCACTGGGGGTCCAGTGGAGTTGCCTTGAGAGTGAGACATGCTGGGCCTGTCTGCAGTTACCTACTTCCTAGCTTCAGACCCTCATGACATGTTTATGGGGGGTGTGACCCTCCCAGCTCATCCACAGGACACTGGCCTGGCCCCTTACCTTGAAACACCGTCAAAGTCCCCACCAAAGCCCACGGCTCCGGCTCCCGCCACCTTCTTGATGTGGTCCAGATGGTCTGCCAAAGAAGGCAGCAGGTGTGGGTCCCAGGAGCAGGACCCCCGCCCCTGCTGCCGTGGCCGCTCACACCCACCTACCTGCTACCTGGGACAGGGTCGCCTCCTTTCGGCAGGAAACATAGTCGTTGTAGAAATTCACCATCACCAGGCTGCCTGTCTGGTTCTGCTCGGGAGAAGGGCGGGGCTGTGGGCGCAGGAGGGGGCGCAGCCACCCGGGACCAGCCCAGGGAGCAGGGCGGACCCCCACACCCTGCCCCACAGCCCCTCACCACCAGCTGGAGCACAGTATCGGGCACATTGCGCCGGTGCGGGCACAGGCTGAAGGCGGAGGAGTGGCTGAAGATGACGGGAGCCTTGGACAGATTCAGGGCCGCCCTCATGGTGGCCTCGGACACGTGGGCCAAGTCAATGATGACCCCCAGCCGGTTCATCTCCTTCACCACGCTCTGCAGGGACACGGGGTGCAGGGGCCAGGAAGGCTGCGCTGGACACACTGGTGTTTGCACAGCCTTCCGGGGTTCACCACAGCCCCCCTACAAGTCCAGGCATGGGGGGGCGGGTTTGGGCAAGGGCCCCTTGCTGGGCCAGGTGCTCACGAACCCTTCAATGGCTGGGGGGTGACCCTCGGCTTCCAGTGAATGCCCACCCTGGGACAACCGCTGCCAGCTCCGGCTGATAGGAAACTGAGGGCCTGAGAGGTAAGACCCTGGGTCCGGGGTCACTTCTCCTCTGAGGGGGACTGTGGTCCTTGCCGAATGCCCTGCTCACCTGGCCGAAGTCTGACAGGCCTTGGCTCCGGGCCTTGTCATCTTTGTCCACCAGCCAGTTGTCAGCCCTGGGAGAGCAGACAGCAGGTGTCCCAGGGGCAGAGTGCTCATCCTGGCCCACCCGCGTCCCCGACGCCCGGAAGGACAGGGAGGTGCCGGAGGAGGGCAGAGCTGGTGTTTGACCCCCACCCTGTGACCCTCCCGCGTGGCCCGTGGGCCCTCCCTGGGGTCACTTACCAGGGCGTGTTGCAGCTGTGGGTGAGGGTCAGGTACCGCATGCCCAGGTGGTAGAGTGCCCGCAGGACGCCCAGGCTGCTGTCTATGGAGTGGCCGCCCTCCACGCCAACGAGGCTGGCTATGCGCCCCTGCTGGAAGGCCTGCCGGATGCCTGTGAGGAGAGCCAGCTGGGGGCGTGCCCGCACGTCCCGGGAGCTTCCACAGGGCACACCTGGGCAGTCCGAGCTGCCCCGTTCCGGGATGGGGCTGGGGCAGCAGGGGCTCAGCAGGGCGGGCTGGACCCGGACCCACCTGCGCTGTCGGTGACGCACACAAAGGTCTCAGGGTACATCTGGCACATGCGGTGGATGACATCGATCTGCTCCAGTATCCTCTTCACAGCGTCTTTGTTCTGGGTGTCGCAGGGGGTGTATGCAGACCAGAACTAGGGGGCACGGGGGAGGGGCTAGGAGCGGAGCCTCTGAGCCCCACCCCCCACGTGCACACGGGCGCCTTGGAGGCCCTCCCGTGGCCTGTGTGGCCATGAGTCCCCTCCGAAGACTCGTGGCCCCAAGGGGCTCAGGAGTACCACCGCCAGGGAGCCAGAACCCCGGCAGGGGCGAGTGCAGGGCTGAGCTGAGGCCTACCTGGCCCCCCACAAAGCCAGCCTTCAGCTTGGGGATGTTGGTGTGTGTTTGGGCGAGGCTCGTCAGGTTGGCCTTCTCTTGCTGGAGCTGGTTGTTGAACATGGTTAGCAGCTGCCAGGGAAGGTCGTTGTGCCTGGGGGGCCCGGGGGACAGGAGAAGGGTCAGAGGCAAGGCAGGATGGCCACGTGCACCTGGGGCCTCCCCTGTTTCTCACAGGCTCAGAGCTAAAGCCAGCCACAGGGGTGACACATGGCTCCACGCTTATGGACACACCTGCACAGAGTAGCTGCTCCCTTGTGCCCCACACCCAGCCCAGGTCCCCAGAGGGAAAAGCGGCCCTGGGCAGCGGGGCGGGAGCTGGGTGTGGGACCCTGACCCTGACCGTTTTCACAAGTTAACGATGAACTCCTCCCCTTGCAGGGAGGGGGCAGGGATGTGGGTGTGGCCTGCCCTTGGGGGCCTGGCACCCCCCACCGCATCCTCCTGGGGCTGCAGGAGCAGGGCATCGGGGGCTCTGGGACAGCCCTGCCCTGTTTGCGAGCACATCCCAATATGTTCCAAAGCACTGAGGCCCCTCTGAGTTTTCCCAGGAGCCAGTAGGGGTGAGTGCTTTGGAGGGAGAGAGGAGAGGAGGAAGGGAGGAGGAGGGGGTGTTGAATGTCAGCAGCTGGTCGGGGGCTGCAAAGGCAGAACGCACAGGGCTGGGCAGATTCCTCCCTGGACCCAGGAACCAGGAGCAGCCCAAAGCAGGAGAGACCTCTGGGGCGCCAGGTCCCCCTAAGTTCCACGTGTGGAAGAGGTATGGGCCAGGGAGCTGATTGGAAATGCAGAGTCTCAGGCCCAGCTCAGACCTGCCGGTTGGAATCTGCACTTTAATCAGCCGGGCCCGGAACGCGGGACACCTGTGGAGACTCCCCCGCTGGATCCCTGACGCAGTGCCAAGGGGCCTTCGTCCTGGTGTCTCGCGGCCCACCCAGCCCCTTCCCAGGGGGCACCGCCGGTGAGGGGGGCCACTCCTGCTTTCGAGACCCCTCCCCCCAGGACGAGCAGCCGCGGCCTCACCCCCCATCCAGTGTCCCTCCCCAATCCTGGCTCCCGCCTCTCAGCTCCCACCTGTAACAGGGGGATGCTTCTGTACCTTCCTCAGAGTAAACTGAGGGTAGAGGAGTAACTGCTAGCACCCGGGCCTCGCAGGCCCGCTGCCCCTGCTCTTTCGGGGGGCTCCTGCCGCAGCTGCGTCGTGATGTCACAGGGTGTGGGCTGCTGGCCAGGACGCCTTTGCTGACTGAGAGGTGGACGGGTAGCTGAATGCCAGAGTCCCGGTGCCTCTGGGTGCTGTCCTGGGGCAGGGCCGGCCAGGGCCCTGGATGGGACTTCACTCCGTGCCTGATGCCCCACCCTCTAGCCACCAGCCAGGAACCCACCGGCAGGGAGGGGCACTTTCCCTGGAGCCCAGGGTGGGGAACACAGGCCACCTTCACCCTGCGGTCAGCACTGCCACTCTGGAGCCTGCTGGACCCACCCTCCTTATCTGTGTGGTGGGGGCAGTGTCCTTGGGGGTAATATGAGGATCCTGCCCCTACTCCAAGGGGGGAGGTGACAGTTCCACGCACTTGAAGGACAGCTAGCTATGGTAGGAGAGACTGCCGGTGGCTTGTTATCCATTCTCCACCTTTTTCTTGGTAAGAACCCCCTATTTTTTTTTTTAAGATTTTATTTATTTGTGAGAACACAAGCGGCGGGGGTGGGAGAGGGAGAAGCAGGCTTCCCGGGGAGCAGGGAGCCCGATGTGGGGCTCGATCCCAGGACCCCGGGATCATGACCTGAGCCGAAGCACTTAACGACTGAGCCACCCAGGCGTCCCAAGAGTCCCCTATTTTTAGCAGGGAACATGGCCGTTTGAAATAAAGATACTTCCCTGCCCCTTTATAGCTGGGTGTGGCCATGTGACTAAGTTCTGCCCTTTGGTATCTTCCAGAAGATCTCGTTTACAGACAGCTGTTGCTCACTCTTTGCCCTTTCCGTGTCTCTTCCTCATTCCTGCTGGCTGGCACACAGATGTAAAGGCTGGGGCTGGTGCAGCCACTTTACACCGTGAGGTCACCATGGGAATGATGGCCGCTATGTTCCATTATGGAACATCATGCCAGGACTCCCTCTGGATTTCTCTTGTTGAAACCACTTACTTGGGTCTCTTACCTGCAAGAGTAATGTAGGTAGCTAATACTAACTGATCTATTAGTATTGGATTTGGTCCTCTCAGCCTAGTTTTAACTTTCTAGCTCTTTGGACAATCCCAAATCCCCAAATCCCAGTTCTCTGAGTATTCCTGGCTGTCTGGGCTCTTTGATACATCTTACCCCTCATACAGGCCTCTGGACCCCCTGCCCCTGAACTCGGGCCCCCCTCTCCATGCCCAGCTGCCCGCCCCCCGCCCGCCCCTCAGAATGAAGGAGCAGAGCACCTTCCCGGGCTCATACCAGACAGCAGGGGCTCCACCCAGGGTGGGAGCCCAGGGCAGCAGCCTCTGAGCAGACATCATGCCTCATCCCCCACGGAGCATGCATGAGGGGACCCTGGGGCCAGGAAGGAGGTACAGGGAAGGAAGCAAGGGCAGAGGGGTGCACACTAGCCTCTGGTGGCCCCTCCCTTCTCTAGGGCCACCACAGCTCCCTGAGGCTCCCAAAGAAGGACACATCCTGTTTTCTCTGCTTTTCTTGCAGAGTTTTTTGTCCGACAAAGCCCAGAGCATCTGCCAAATAGTCACGACTGTAACATTTATTGAGCACTTACTGGTGCCGGAGACACACAGGAGCAGTCCTAACACTCCCCACCCATGGGTATGCTAGCGTGCGTCTCCTGCAGCTCTTTGGACTGGACGCACGGGGAACCAAGTCCCCGCTCTCGGCTGGTCTGCAGGGGAGGCGTGACAGGAAGGGCGGCAGGAGCAGCAGGGCTGAGGCGTGTGCCCAGCTGGGGTTTTACACAGTCAGCAAACCCAGGAGGAGACGAGGGTGGCAGCATGGACATGAGGACAAGCAGGGACAGTGGGAGCCTGCCTTAGCATCCGGGTGTGGAGATGGCCAGGGTAAGGCAGGGGGTAGGTCTCAAGGGCCAGTGGGGGACTTCGGCCATAGTTTGAGCTCAATGGGAGCCATGGCGGGTGGGGAACTTGAGCCAGAAGGACAGGAGCTGGGACTTAGGTCTCCCAGACTCCCTCTGGTGCAGCATTGAGACCAGACCTCGGCTGGTGGAAGCCAGGACAGTCAGAGGCTCACGGGTGACCCGGTGGAGGTGGGGAAGGGGGTGGGAAAGGAGGGTGGATGCAGATGCACTGGGAATTGGAGGGGACAGACCCTGCCAGGTTGGCTGTGACACCAGAGAAAGAACGAGGTGTCTCCAAGGTCTTGGCTGGAGAGGGGTCTGCGAGAGTGGGGGGGGTGTCAGTGAGCACACAGGTGAGGTCAAGCTGTGCAGCCAGCACAGAGGTAACCCGGGGACCCAGGGCCTGATGAGGTCTCCTCCAGGTGGATGCAGGACACAGAGGGGAATGAGAAAGGTCTCAGAGGAGAGTCGAGAGGGCCAGGCAAGGCCTCCCGGGGGCCTGTGGTAGATGCCACCTTACCTGCAGCTTCAGGTGAAGAAGCTAAGGCCCCGAGAGGAAATATGGCTCCTTGGGCTATGTGGCTAGTTGGAGGCATGCCCGGGGCCAGGCCCCAACATCCTCCACCCCCAACACCCACTCCGAGCTGGGATCTGGCACCTAGGGTGCAGCAGGGGGCAGGTTGGAGGGCACCCCGGGAGCTGCTGAGGGCCACAGGGGCCTTGCAACTTCTCTATTCCTGCTGATGCTTTGGGGGACCTCCTGAAGAAGCTGAGGCCAGCAAAGGGCAAAGGCTGTGTTGTGGATGGAGAGAGTGAGTCCCCGTAGAGATAGGTCTGTCCCCAGTCCTGTCATGTGAGTGGTGACTTACCCGTCGATGACAGGTGTGTCCCGCATGATTCTCTCAGCCTCATTCCGGAACTGGTCTCCGGTGCAGAGGGCCACGAGGGGCCAGAGCCACCAGCTGATCCACATGACGTCTCCAGGGACTGCTTCCAGCACTGCTGTGTGTGTCTGTCCTCACCCGGCTGCCTTGAGCACCGCGGGGTCCAGCCGAGGCTGCAAGGAGCTGATCTGTGTGCAGAAGAGAGAGCAGAGGTCTTTGGTCCAGGTGATTATTGCCAGGAGCTGTCCCATTCAAGGCTCCTGGCATTCAATCAGTAACCAGCACTTCCTGGGAAGAGGGAGGGGGGGCAGGTGGAAAGTCCTGGACCCTGTGGGCTGGGTGTCGCTGACTGGGCCCGGCAGTCGGAGGCCACTGACCCCGGGGAGCACCCAGAGCCGGTGAAAGGGCAAACTTGGGAGGGCTCGACAGTGCCGCTTGTGTCCTTACTCAACCTGGGGCCTGAGATCTGCAAAGAACGGCAACAATTGTTCAGAGTTGCCCTCTTGTAATGTACCCCTTTGTTTGCCTGTAAAAAGTTTCACGTGAGCATGGAAGATGGAGCGCGGCCCCCCGGGGGGGCTCCCACCACACCCCACCCAGCGCCGGGGGCCAGCACCCAGCTCCTGGCCTACAGCCCACTGGCGTCCCGGCCACCCCCATTCAGGCTGCAGGCTTCTGACGGAGCAGGCTGGACGCACGGGGAACCGAGTGTCTGCTCTCTGCTGGGTTTGGGTCAGAAATCTGGAGTGTCAGCATTTCTCAGCCCTGCTGCCCCCTCAGGGCTCCTGATGCCCAGTCACTGCTGAGACAGGAGGATCCTGGTCCCAGGGCTGGGCCAGCGTCCAGGGTTCTAGGGGGCAGCAGGGCTGGGAGGGAGCCAGGCCAGGAAGGCTGGTGAGAGGTGTGGCTGAGGCAGGGAGACCCCAGCCCACTCTGGGTCCTTAGGGCCTTCTCGGCGGGGTGGGAGGGGGCACGCAGACCCCATGCCCTCACCAGGTTCCCTGACGCCTCTGCCCCTGGATAGCGTTGGACCCTCAAGCTGACCCGCCCTGCAGAGGCCCCCTGTGTCCTCACCCCACCTCCAAGGACAGGCCCTGCCGCCCGCCTGAGAAGGGAGGCCGTGCCCCAGCCCTGGCCCGGCTACCGTTAGCGGAGTTTCCTGTGCCTTCTCCCTGTGGGGGTTGCTGGCGGGAAGGCCCACGTGGGGGCTGTGCTGAGGATAGCAGCCCTCCTCCACTCTGGCTCCTCCCGCCCTCTCCCTCCCGCCACCACTCACACATCCTGAGAGGACCGGTGGGGGGGATGTCCTCAGTGTCACTGGCCCCAGTCCCCATCAAGGACTTTTTCCGCCAGGACTCGCACCCCAACGGGGTGTCCTCGGGACCAGACCGGGGGTTTGACCCTCAGCCAACCCTGTGCAGAGAAGACCTGCCTTGATGGGTGAGGAATAGAGTCCAGGCCCTCACTCTGGGCCCGGGGCTCCCGGGGGCGCTGTGAGGAAGCCCAGGGCCGGTTGGAACCAGGAGTCTCTGCAGAGGAGACGCACACGTCTGCCTGCCCTCTGCTGTGTCCTGCCGCAGACACGGTGTCCACTCACCTCCAACCTCCGTGACCTGTCTCCTAGGGACCTGGGCGCTGCTTCGTGGGTGGGGCTCGGTCTGCTGGGGCCAGTGGACCGGCCTTCCCCGCTGAGAGCTCCCCTTCTCTGCCAACCTCTCTTGAAATCCGTTCTCTGCTTTATTAACATGTGTCTACCCCCTATTTTTCTCTTTATTTCTAACTTTTTTTCTTATTTCAGAGTTGGATCCTAAGAGCACATAATTGTATTTTATTTCTTAATCTCACCTGAGCATGTTTGTCTTTAAATATGATCATTCAAGCCGGTCCACACTTTCTTGTCGTACCTCCAGTCTCCTCCCGTTTCTTGCTTTTGCCAAAATTTTCAGGTTATTTCAATTCCCTATCTCTCACACTCAGGAAGTTCCTTATTTTCTCCTCTCTTGAGAGATATTTATTTGAATTTATTTCTTGCTTGTCTTACTTTCTTGGGCCGTTCCCCAGGCATGGTGGAGTCCTTGTGAATTCACACGGGTAATGAGCCTGACCCTTCGTGTCCGCCATCCAGCACCGCAACCACGATGCCTCAGGCCTGACTCCTTTGTTTGTACACGGTCTCGCTGGGTCCTCGAGTTCTCCATCCCTTCATCCATCCCCATGTGGCCCAGGGGTTTGTCCTTTGAAACCCGCCTGACCCTTGATTTTGACCTTCTCTCCATTTTCAAATTCAGAATTCCTTGGCTTTAATCATTTTTTTAAAAAATTAAATTCTTGGGGGGACGCCTGGGTGGCTCAGTGGGTTAAGCGTCTGCTTTCGGCTCAGGTCATGATCTCAGGGTCCTGGGATCGAGTCCTGCATTGGGCTCCCTGCTCCATGGGAAGCCTGCTTCCCCCTCCCACTCCCCCTGCTTGTGTGCTCTGTCTGATAAATAAATAAAATCTTAAAAAAAAATTAAATTCTTGGGGCGCCCGGGTGGCTCAGTCAGTGAAGTGTCTGCCTTCGACTCAGGTCCCGATCTCAGTTGAGCCCCGCCTCGGGCTCCCTGCTCAGGGGGGAGTCTGCTTCTCCCTCTGCCCCTCCCCCTGTGCTCTGTCTCTCTCTCAAATAAAAATCTTTTAAAAGAATAAAAATAAAACAATAGTAATTTTTTTAAAAAGCCCAACAGAAAAGGTCTCACCACACCCTCACCCAACTCCACTGTGGGAGGTGTACTCCCATTACCCCTGAATGATGGGCTACGTGGCTCTAACTTTATTTCCAGCTTTGCACATTGTGCCTCGACTTCCTATTTCCACTCACAGGGCTTGGTTCTCTCGAGGTGACTCCCTGGTTCTCCCAGGTACTCAGATAGCACAGGAGTGGAAGGCACTGGCTTCAGGTACAAATTCCAAAGTGGAGGGGACCACCAAAACTTCAGTCCTCAAAGTAAATAGTAGTTTAGTGCAATATTTCTAAAAATCAAAAGTTTGTGCAAAAAAAATACATGGATAAAATATAAACTTTTTTTTTTTAAAGATTTTATTTATTTATTTGAGACAGAGAATGAGATAGAGCATGAGAGGGTCAGAGGGAGAAGCAG